AATCATGTCTTTCACACTACTCACCATCTCTGTATTTATCTGGGAGATTATTTCTGCTTTGAATTTTTCTAGAGCCTCATGCATCTGCTTTGTTACTTCCTGTGCTATCAGTTCAGGGTGTCCAGGTGGTTGATTATCCAACTTTTCCACCTCGTTTCCCCCAGAATTTCCTTTTGGTGGCATGGAAGTCTGTGTTTGTGCCATGCTTAAATGTTTTCTCATTTTTGTTTCTGATACTGCCCTTGGTTTAATTCCTGGGTTGATATTTCAAAATTGCTTAATGCAGGTATCTTTTTTGCTTGTGTTTAAAACCCTTGTGGAATAATTGCTTTTCAGAGGTGTCTTCCAGATATGGCTTGTGTTTAGATTTTGAGAGTCTAATGACTCTGAGGATATTTTATTTTCCTTATATCAGGAAGGAAAACTGATTAGATCAATCACAACATGTTAGGCTAAATGTTACAATCAGCAATATCATAGCATCAAGCGCAGCTTAGAAAATGACAATTTGTGGTAGTTATTAATCTATCACATTAACTATGTGAAGTATAATCCCCTGTGGCTCTGTGGTGTGGGATCAGGTAGCAGAAGAGTGGGAAGCTGGGGGAGGGGGATGGAATTGGACCTTGCAGGAGACCGCATGGCTAAACGGAGCACTCCATGAAGGCGGGTCTCCAAACCCTCACCATGCCACGGGCAGGAACCAAAACACAGCTGAGGAGCCTCAGGCTGCTCGGCCCAGCCGCAGAGAGAAGCACCATACATGTGGAATCTTAAAAAGGATTGCTCATAGAAATACAGAGTAGATGGGCTGTGGAATTAGCTCAGTGGTACCCCGTTTGACTTGCAAGAGCAAGGTTGAGTTTGATCTTCAGTGCCTAAGAGGGAAAAAAAAACAAGAAAAGAAAGAAAAGGAAAAAGATATAGAGGAGAATGGTGCTTACCCGGGTTTGTTGGTGGGGTGGGTTACAGGGAGTTTTCTCAAAGGAAATAACTTTAATGACATAGGAGAAGTACATTCAGGAGGTCTAAAGGAAAACATGGTGACTGTAAACAATAATGATGTAGTGTTAAAAATTCCTACAAGACCAAGTTTATGTGTTTCCACCAAAAAAAAGATAAATATAGGAGTAGGACATATTGTATATGTTAATTACCTCCATTTAGGCATTCCACAATGTATACATATTTTGAGATATATTTTGCATAAGAAATATATACAACAATTGCCAAATAAAATAAAATACATAAATTATAATTTAAGCAAACTAAAGAGTTTTAGCTTGAGGTCCTCTTCTCCTGATCTACACCTTTTCATTTCATCAAGTATAATATTTAAATAATGACTACGTGACTCAAAAATTTATAGATTCAGCCTCGATGTGGATACCAGTACTGAGAATCACACATTTGATTACCAATGAGATAGTTGTTCTTCTTATTTCACAAAATCTTGAGATTTGACTTTGAAAGCTGAATTAATCATTCTAATTTCCCTCTCCCAAGTCCTCGTTCATGTATAGTATCTAACCTCCAATATAAGAAATCAGCAAAGGCCACATGACTTTACACTCCTTCTTTCTTATATTTTAATTATAATTCTCAAATTCACATTATTTTTATTTCATTTGCTAAATGTTTGCAGGATGTTACCACCCACTTCTATTCATTCTGTTCATTTCTCCTGTTCAGACTAATGTCCTTCTTCTCTTATTACTCCAAGATCCTTCTCCTCTTCTTACCTACTCTTCACAGTGAAGCAGAGTGAGCTTTCCAATATCAAGATTTGATAATGAACCTTTCAGCTTAATCTAATCTAAGCTTTCTCATTTAGCCTCTAGTTTTCTGGGATATTCCTTGGGCCAATGGCATGATTTTCTTAATCCAAAATGTTTGCAGTTCCAGTTTATGTACAGGTACAGAGAATTTTCTGACTGAATCATCTAATGACCATTAGTGCATAAGTGTGGGTAAAGTTTTCTGATTATGTTATCTTATATAAAATACCAAAATTAGCATGATAGTAAATCTTTTCATTACACAATAGGGAATAGCATAGTACAGTCTTCTATGCTTCACTCCATATTCTTTAAAAGATTGTGCTTGAGGGCTGGAGATTTAGCTCATTGGTTTCACTGCCTGCTACACAAGCACAAAGACCCAAGTTCGATCCCCGGTACCAAAAAAAACACAAAAAATGTGC